CCGATAACATAGCAAATCGGATATAGATTTAACAATCAAATATCCGTTGGATTATCGGATCGGATTTTTTTCTTAACGGATCAGATCGGATTTGGACAGATCCGCTCCATATCTGATCCATTGATAGCCCTAGGGGCTACTATGATTTTCAACGATGGCAGCGTCTAGTGTGGTGGTGGTGTTAACGCTGCTTGTGGTGGTGGTTTGGGGCTATTGTGGTTTTCGACAGTGGTGGCATTGGGGCGTGGTGACAATGGTAGTGGTGGTTTGGGGGTGGTCTTGGTGTTTTTGGGGGATTTTAGGTGGTGTGTGTTGGTTGTGCAGGTAGAGATGTTATCGACGATTGTGGATTGGGCAACTGTTTTGTTGGAAATGTTGACAGTGGTGGTGGTGTTATGTTGCTGGTGATGATGTTCACAAGTGGCGGTGACGGTGAACCAATTATTTGGTCACATGTGATCAAGTATTAAATTGTGATATTAAAATTTGATACTCGTGATTGAAATATAATTTGTGACCAATAAATTTGAAAATTCGTGATCAATAGTAAATCGTGACTTGTAATTTTTTTGATTTGTGATCAATGGAACAAATTGTGACTTGTAAAATTTTTTACTTGTGACCTCAAAATAATATGTGATCTACAAAAATTTTAATTTATGATTTCGAAATAATCTGTGGCCTAAAATTTTTTTGATTTGTGACCTCGAAATTATCTGTGATCAATAAAAAATTTATGACCTATAATTATGTATTTGTGATCATTAATTGCATAACTGTGATTTTATTATAATTTATTAATAAATAGTTATATTATACACACACACACCCCTGAATTTTGAAGATACCAAATTAGCACACCAGATTTGCACCCACTACCGTTCAATTGCAAACCGTTTATCGTAGGGGATAAGGCAATATGGGTTAGTGACGGGAATTTTTTCATTACTTCTTATGAAAATTGAGGTTGTTTTGACCAATCATTCGATCCGAAAAATAAAATATTAGGTAGCAAATCGATTAATTTTAACTAAAAATAAAATATTAAGAATTATCAAAAAGAAGCAAAGACAAGCCAAATCATCTCGATTTTTTATTTTTTCAGTTTGTAAAATAGTGTGTCAAGCGAATGGGCCCACCCGGGAATGGTCCATTAAAAATGACCTGCAAACCGGCCCAAAATTCAAGTGGGCCGATTCATGGGCTAGTTACACTCATTGATTATATTATTTTTTTATTATTATTTTAAAGAAGGAAAAAATCTTTCCTAAATTTTAAAAATAACACAACAAATTTGCCTTGCCATAAAAGAGGCTGTGACAGCTTCAGGCCTTCAGTCTCACATTGATTAGAAGGGATGCCCTTTTTGGTGCGTTATTTTTTATTTAACACTAGTCGCTATCACGTGCGTTGCACAAATTTTGTATTTATTTTATTTTTATTAGTGTATGAAGTTTAGTTTTTTGAAAAAGTTTTTGAAGGAATATCTAAAAATATTTTCATGATATAAAAAAATAATTGTAAATTATTTTTACAATTGCATAGCAGTATGTTATCTAGAAAAATATGCTTTTATATTTCATGTTTTAATAAGAAATATACAAACTATTAGTGTTGATATGATTGAATTGAATGTGAAGATTATATTTTTAAATTTTGTGTAATTCAATATTGTAAAATTGAAAAAAAAAAAAACTCTTCGCATAGTACGGAGACAATTCAACCAAGTGCGGAGTAAAAATAAAAAAAGGTGTGGAGAGAAAAAAAAAACTTTGGCATCATGCATGTGTGAAATAATATTTGTCAATTATGATAAAAAAAAATTCTTCGCAAAATATAAAAAATAAGCTAATAAAATTACAATAATTTTTTTTTTTTTTACAAATAACATAAAAAATCAATTTTATCTTCAAGAAAAAAATGCATTTAAATTTAGCAATTTCATAACATTTTTTTTTATTCTCAAAAATTGAATTATAAAAAAGGAAACAATATTGAATTAAAGATTTAATACTCAAGAAATTCATTATTAAATAAATTTTATACATTTATAACAAATTATAAATCAGTTTATCGTATTTGCAGGCAGCTTACCGTATATGCTGTCTACTGTATTTGCAAATAACTTACCGTATTTGCTGCCTATCGTATTTATAACTTACCGTATTTACTGCCTACCGTATTTGCAGGCCACCGTATTTGCAAACAATTTACTGTATTTACAGCTTATCATATTTGTTGCCTGTCGTATTTACAGCCTACCGTATTTGCAAACAATTTATTATATTTTCACCTTACTTATTTGCAGCTTACTGTATATACTGCCTATCGTATTTGTAACTTATATGCTGCCTATCATATTTGCAGCTTACTGTATTTTTTATATACATATTTTTGCACTTACAAAGTGGGAATGCAAAATATCGTAATTCACTTACCAAAACGAATTTCAAAAAAAATTTCAGATTTTTAATTTGTTAACATATGTTGTGCATGTGATCATATAGAGTGAAACATACGTTCTGGATCAAATGGGCTGATGCTGGCGCGGAGCAACGACATCGGCCTTGTGCGAGTTTAAATTCACTGTCTAGTTGTTAGGGAAGCTGAATGAGTTAGGGGTAAGGGGGCAGTGCCCCCGCGATACGGTACAGGAGTATTTTCTTGTATGGGCTTAAAATCTTATATTGACAGGTTATGATTGGCATAAATAATATGTTGTAAACCTATTTTTCACTATTCAAACGACGGTAAATTCTTGTAGAGGTGTGTAGTGTTGTCCCAAAAAAAAAAAAATTGTGCGTGGAGCTGTGCGGAGTGTCCGCACTCCCCGCACCAATTTCGTGCGGGGACTCCGCACGACTTTACGGGGATTCCCCGCACCAATTTTTTTTCTAGTTTATATATATTAAAAAAACAATGGATAAAACAACCAATTGCAATAAATTTTAAATTCAATTGGAGAGAAACGGCTTTCCACACAATTGCCTAAATCAAAATAAGTTTGCTTCTCTTAAAGTAAGTTGCAAGTATCTCATGATAAAGTGAAAATAGTTATGCCATTCAAAGAAGACCTATTATATATAATTCATCATTTAAAAGAAAATATGCATACACTAAAAACAAACAGAAATTCTTAAAGACTACCAGAGATTAGAAAATCACCTGAGAAAAGCTTTTTGAAGAGAAGTACTTATGTCACCAGTCAAATATGCTTCATGCTTGAGAACTTGCCAATGAAGATATGTAGCAGAAAATTTAGCAACCATCTTATTTGTGAAATTCAATGCATTGGTAAGAGAACAATAATGCACTGACGAGACAACAAAGAAATTGGGTAGCAAAACTTGATTTATAGCAAAACATTATTTCAATTCAAACTAATTATAATCTTTAATGGATCTGTATTGTGAAAATCTTTAATGGATCTGTATTGTGAAAATGGAAAAACAGAAGATTGTAGGTAGGAGAAAGAGAAATGGAAACGATGGTTGCGTGTTGAAATTGAAATACTTTTGAAGTTGTTAAAATCGGGATGGGATGAAAGAATGAGATTCGTAGATATTGCATCTCCAGAGATTAGAAAAGGCATGGCCATAACGTATGAAAATGGAGAATGAAATAGTTGAACAAAAAAAAAAAATGACGCCATTTTTTCTCTTGTACAGTAACTTGGGATTGATTTACTATTGCATCTACAGTACTAACTACTTCACGTTTTTATTAGAGGTTAGATATAAAATTACTTTTAATTAGGAATATTAGAATTATTCACTTGAATATTAAAAAAAAAAAAGAATAAGTAGACTAAAAGTGTCAAATAAAGACCTGATCTAGATCCGACTGAGAATTGTTCGAAATTTTTTTGGATCATGGAAAGGCCTTTGCAAAATTTTGCGAGTCAATTAAGATCTAACCAGTGAATCATGCAATCCTAATATAGAATAGAGCCATACCGAGTCCTTACATTGACTCAATCTGGTTCTTTGACATCATTAGGAGTGGGCATGGCTTGATTGGATTTTGTTTTGAAAGGAATCATACCGAATTGAATACCAATGAAAATCTTAGAAATTGAATCATTGATTTCATATCCAACTACAAAACTGAACTGGAACCAAATCAACCAATTCCGATTCGGTCCGAACTGGTTTGTTATATTGAAAAATTATAAAAATAAAATATAAAACTAATTATCAATTGAAAATAGACAAAAAATGAATATAAAATCACTTGTTATTTTTGTAATTTAATGATACAAAAAAATTATTAAACAAGGTAACAAAACAAAAATCCGTTCCAAAGCTCAAAATCAACTCATAGCAAGTGGAAAAATGATAAACTATTAAACATAGTGTAAATGGTAAAATTTCGATCGAAAAAATTAATTTAAAAAAAAATCCATATAGCATTAGCCTGATTATCTTTAGTAATTCTCAAGAATCATAATTCTTGATGCCCGACTATTTTGAAAACATCGAGAAATTTGAATTCTTATGAAATATTGAACAAAAAAATACATTTTTCCTACTGTATTACACCAAAACTATGATTTTGTAAAATATTTAGACTTGAGTTTCGATTACCCATTAAAGGAAAGAAGAAGAAGCGTATGAAAAATGAAATTTTAACATGAGATATATTTGATACATGAAACAATAAAAAAAATCATCACATTAATGCATCAAATAAAAAATTGCACGTGTATGTTACTTAAAACGACTACTGATAATCTTTACAATGAATAGTATTATTTGAAAATTTTGAGGTGTACTATTTAAAATTCTAGTGCATCTCGGAAAAAGATGAAGGAGAAATTTGAGAGAATTGAATTTAATATTGATTATCAAAGTGGTATCGAGAATTCGATAGAAATCGATCGATTTTCGATATATCGTTTCAAAATTAACTCATTTTTAATGAAGGACTTGGAATCGAACCGACCAATTTTATTTGGTTCCGATTCGTTACCCTAGACAATACCATTATAAAATATTGCTCCTAAGCGCACACGTGAAATATTCGTAACAAGCAGCAGTAACACAACGTATCCCTAGTTTGCTAAATCTCTCTTCCCCCTCCCCGGTCCGTCTCCCATCCTCAGTAAAGCAGTAGACACAGACGGCTGTTCGTAACTAAGTTCTTTCCAGAGGTAAGCTCTCTCTCCTATGCATACATAAGGAAATATGTGAGTATCGACATTGGTAAAATAAAAATTGAATTTTTTTCGTGCTTTTGATATTTTAGGCAGGTTTTTTAATGTGGCCTTTGGTTAAGTTTTTATTTTTCTCGATTTCTTGAAGATTTTGTTTCGATGTTTTAAAATCTGTACTGGGTTTTCGTTTGTCTTTTTGGATATTAGGGTTCTAGAGGTTATTTGGTGGAAAATGAAAATTTGGAAAATATAATTTGAAATATCAAGCGTGCGAAGGGGTTTTTGGATCAGGGATTTGGAAAATTTGGAATATATAATTTGCTTATTTAATTGGGAATTGGATTTGGGTTTTCATTAGATGCTTGGAAGTATAACACGAAAACAAAAAAATGCTATTGCTGTAGGGAGATTTTTTTTTCCTCCTTTCTTTTTGGCATAGATTTCTTCGATTCCTCTGTTTCTTTTGTTTACCTTTTGCAGTTGTATTGAGTGGCTTTTTCGACTTGGATTCTTCTCTTTTAATTTTTTTGCTGATTTTTATGTATTTTTATTTATTATTTCTCCTCAGTGCACACGTTCTTTTATTTTTTATTTTGCTGTTGTGTTCTCTGCAATGAGATTTTTTTTTTCCTGTAAAGATAATTTAATTGTTTTTAATGGATTTTTAAGATAGTCTATGGTTCATATGTTGAGGCTTACACCTAAAACTTACTCCTTGCCTCATGAAGGCAAAAAGCCTCCATACACAAGTCAGCCTTCTTTTAACTTTGAATTGCAACCCATACACCATCCTAACTACAACCTGTCACAACTCTATTGCCACCACCTGCCAACCTTCACCTCGCGCCTGAAAGATAGGCTAAAATCTGTGAGAGGCAAGGTTGGGTGGAGGTGGTACACGGGTTGTTGCCTTGGGGGTTGGTTGTGTGAATAGGGGGTATAAGGAGAAGAATTGAGAGTGTGGTTGGAATGTTCAGTAGTGCTGTAGAAAGAAACTGTCTATAGAGAGAAAAAAATGGTGTCCTTTTAGATAATCTGTAAATCAATTACATAGGCATGTTTATCAAAAGACAAAGATGAGGTCGTAGAATATGCATCAACGATATATTCTTTTCAGGGAGTGAAGTGAGATAACAATTTTAGTACCAAAGATCAACTGAATTAATCTTTTTTGGTTGATCAATTCTATAGGCTTTATTTCGAAGGGGAATTTCAAAATTTTCAACAATTTCCATAATACACGATACTTTTCCTTCATATTGCTTTTCATGGGCTTTTTTATATCGAACGGTGCATGTAACTTTCCTTCATAGAAATTTAAAACATTATTTTTACGGAATTGAACGTAATGTTATAATTAAAAGGTTTTGATATTTTATTACCTGAATAACTTGACTCTTAACTTAATTATTTTCTGAAGTAGTGTACTTTTTATCCTTGCAATAATAAGCATCTTGTTATTCATTGCAGACCTATTAAGAGCAGTAAAAAATGTCTAAAAAAGGTTTGATGGAGCAGGACTTAAGCAAGCTGGATGTGACAGAACTACATCCACTCTCGCCTGAGGTTATTTCTCGTCAGGCTACAATTAACATTGGTACGATTACATTAAATTTACTCTAATGGCTTTCAACTTGTTGAATATCACATCTTTGTAATTGGTGATATTGATATGAGTTTCTTTATCTACTTGTTGACTGCTTTTAGGTTGATTTATTCATTGTATCAAATTCCATGTTATTTTGATCCTCTAGGCACCATTGGTCATGTGGCTCATGGGAAGTCAACAGTGGTAAAAGCCATATCTGGAGTCCAGGTATAACTGTTTTCTCTAGAATGTTTATATATTTGAAAATCAGTTAGAGCACATTTGCCTAGGTTTAAAAAGTTTAATTATAGATAAATGAGTTTTAAACTAATTAAATTTTTTATTGGTTGAAGTTGAAAATTATTTATAAATTTCGTAATAAGGTAAGGTTATACTTTTGAAATGAGCAAATTCCATCCAGATCAAAAACTGTTGAAGAAACAAAAAGATCTTTCTTTTGTCCCTCATGAAAAAAATGGGATTTCTTTCTTTTTTGTGATCTATTTATCTATAGTTTCAGTACTCGCAGGATTATTAACAGTACCCATTTTAGAGAATGTTAATAAATTCCAAAATCCATTGGGTGACGGTATTCTGCCTAAATAGTAGACATAGGTGAGAAATAAAAGAATACTAAAAATCCGAGCCATAAAATTTCTCAATTTTGACACAAGGTACTTATTAGATCAAATGTACTGCTGGTGTATTGGGTGATGCTTTGCCCTTCCCTTTGTTTTGCGAGTAGGATTTCATTGTCATGTCATTCCTTTTTTCTTTCATTTATACTAGAACCCTTGAATTCACAATTCTAGTTACAGAAATGTTGATCATTTATTCGGCATCAAAGACATTCGGAATTTCCACGATTGGATAAATATTGATTCGATCCCTTTTTCTTTCAGTTTTCTATTTTGTCTTTTGAATAAAAAAATGAATCAGTTAGAGCTCGGATTTCTAGCCTATTCTATTTTGGTCTTCCTTATAATAGAAAAAAAGTCACTAAATTTATCGAATAAACTTCTCATTGATGTATTATATGAATTCCATTGGACTCAGAAATGATACATTGGAAGAATCCGCTGGGTCTTCCAATATCAATAGGGAGGCATTGAAAACAAAGAAATTGTTGGAGTTCTCATTTCTATCTAGTCCCAACACTCTTTGAAAAAAGAGAAAGAAAAAAAAGTAACATGTTTAAACATGGTAGGAAACATCTACTTATTTTTAAGCGTAGCAAAACGTTCTCATAGTGTGATATGAAGGCACGCTTGCAGCTTTAAATTAATTCTAGTTTCAATTTGGTTAGTGCTTTATAATTTCTTCATATTGTATATTTAAACAAATGGTGGCTAACGCTTGATCTAAGCCCTTATCATAAATATTTTACAATGCGACCTTCCTTGAGGCTATGCCCTTGTCTATGTTTTCTTTGAAGGACAAATATCTGAGTCAAGCTCAATGGTTGCATTAGGTAAGTCCTGTTCATGATAACATTTATTTAATGATGCATAACTTTGTTAAAGTGATAACCTACTTTAATGAGTCTTATGTTTTACTTTAATGAGTCTTAATGTTTGAGAACGACTTGTATTGGTTACTACTTGTACCTATGTTGCTTACTCTGATCCTCTAATTAGGGCCTTTTCTAAAAGGCATTCTCACTATGGATATGGCGAGAAAATTCCTTGATTTTAAATTTTTTGTTTAAAAGACATTGCTATTATATGAAATGTCTAAAATATCCTTGTTGTAGATGGCTTTTTTTCATTTCCTATTCATTCAACTAGTTTTGTCAACTCAACACCAGACCAGATCATTGTACCCAATTCAAGCATAAATGTCCTTAGGTCGGGAAAAATGCAGTCCGAACCTGACCAAATAGACACATGATTCGTCCATTTGACCACATCTTTAGTGTTTTTGTTGTCCTCCAATGGAACACCCCCTCTGCGTTGCTTCTCAAATTCTGCATTTTCTATCTCCTGAAATGCTGACTTTCAGTATTTCAAAAGCATAACTCAACTGGGTCTCACTCCTTTTCTCGTTGAAATGGTCTTCAGCATCTGGGCATCAATCTCATAACAGTTTGCCTATGTTTGAGTTCCATTTTCCCAAAACTCATTTTTCATATAACTCATTTCAACCACACATTATCTCGTAAAATAATTTCACACGTAAACCTAAAACTTTTCCCTATTTTTCAACCATACTTTCTCCAATAATTCACTATTTTGAAACCTATATTCCCCCAACAATGGGGCTCAAAGAGGGCCTCTTTAAAATTGCTACTCAATTTTTAAACCCAATAAATCTTACAAAGCAAAAACCTGAATAAGAAGGAATAGAGAGTTTGAGGAAATGGTGAGGGGAAGAAGTAAACTGGAAAATAAACATAGAATAAAAGAGAAGATAGAGGGAGACTTTGAGGAAAATATAGAATTTTGCATGTGTCACATAGGAAAAATAATGGGCAAAGTGGAGCAGTGGCAGAGGATGAGAAGTAAAAAGGATTCAGCTGGTGGAGAAGAAGAACAATAAGACAACAGATATTTTTGGGGCTTTAGTTTTTGATGAATATGTTAACCAAGGCTTTTTTTCTCATTCTCCCTCCTAAGAGAGTTTTTTGGAGAAATTCCTTATCTTTATGGGTATGCCTTTATTAGTGTTATAAATAATTTTAAATTATACGTTATAAAAATGCACTGTGGAGGCATTGAAAGTTCTTATTATCTTGAATACCTTCTATCTGTAGACCGTTCGTTTTAAAAATGAGCTGGAACGAAATATTACCATCAAGCTTGGATATGCCAATGCAAAGATATACAAATGTGAAGACGATCGATGTCCTCGACCTATGTGCTTCAAGTAAGTACTTAAATATAGATTTGCATTAATTGATGTGCTTCGTTCTCGGGTCTTGTTGGTTATGCTCAAATATCAATTTCTTCTCAGGGCATATGGAAGTGGAAAAGAAGATAGTCCAATGTGTGATGTTCCTGGGTTTGAAAACTCTAGGATGAAATTGCTAAGACATGTCTCTTTTGTTGATTGCCCGGTCAGTATTTTAATGGCCATTTCTCAAAAACTGCTATGTTTTAATTTTTTTCTCTAAACAACTCTTGCAATGATGCCATCTGAATATTCACTTAATATATCTGGTGCTATTATAACTATATCTTTTAAGCTCATAATTACACTTTTTTCCCTATGAATATTAGGAATTAGTCTTGTCTCTGAGCTTCAAGATTATTTGTGTTCCTGACGGAAATGTTCTTTTACTTGTGTGAATGCCTGTAGGGTCATGATATTCTCATGGCTACAATGCTTAATGGAGCGGCAATTATGGACGGGGCTTTGCTTCTCATAGCTGCCAATGAGAGCTGTCCCCAACCTCAGACTTCAGAGCATTTAGCTGCTGTTGAAATTATGCGCCTTCAACATATAATAATTCTTCAGAATAAAGTTGATCTAGTTCAGGAAAATGTTGCAATTAACCAGCATGAAGCCATTCAGAAATTTATTCAGGTTAGTGGCGCATATCTTATATAATCTGGTATATTACATTAATTTTCGTATTTAATAGGACCATCCATTTCGTGCTCTTAGGGAACCGTTGCTGATGGTGCACCAGTGGTACCAATTTCTGCACAGCTCAAGTATAATATTGATGTTGTATGCGAATATATAGTGAAAAAAATCCCCATTCCAGAGAGGAACTTCATTTCACCACCAAATATGATTGTCATCCGATCTTTTGACGTCAATAAGCCTGGGTCTGAAGTTGATGAAATTAGAGGTGGGGTTGCTGGTGGTAGTATTCTGAAGGTATATTTATTTGTTACTTCCATGAGTTCAATTAAAGAAATTCCTATATTTACCCACGGCCTCTTTTATGATGAAACTGTATGTCCAACTTTTTCCTGGAATATCTGTTATTATAAAAAGTTAAAATGCCTGTAATGTTTTCTCCTAGTTGTATTATGATTTTTCTTCCCATTCTCAGCTTAATCAGCAAATACATGCACAACTTAAATTGTAAAATGCCTGCGATTTAAAGGAGCTAATTGATTTTTTTTGTGCAGGGTGTTTTGAAAGTGAATCAATTTATTGAGGTCCGTCCTGGTATTGTCGTGAAGGACGAAAATGGTAACATCAAATGTACCCCAATATATTCTAGAATAGTTTCATTATATGCGGAGCAAAATGAATTGCAATTTGCTGTGCCTGGAGGCCTCATTGGGGTCGGAACCACCATGGACCCTACTCTTACACGTGCTGATAGGTTGGTAGGACAGGTTCTTGGAGAGGTTGGTTCACTTCCTGAGGTGTTTGTTGAACTGGAGGTACGTGTTGGTGCAAGCAAATAACTTATATATAGTTAAGTTGGGAGAACCTTCGTCCTAGCATTTAGATTTATAATTACCTTTTCAATAAAATTGATTTCTTCCTTGAAACTTTTTCCTATACTTCCAACAGATGCTCTACTTCCTCCAAACATTCACTGGATTCATCTAGTGCTCAACATTTCTATCTTTAATGCAGGTTAATTTCTTTTTGCTGAGACGGCTGTTGGGTGTGAGGACAAGGGACTCGGAGAGGCAGGGTAAGGTCTCAAAGCTGACTAAGGGAGAGATTCTTATGTTGAACATAGGATCTATGTCAACAGGCGCTCGAGTCATTGCTGTCAAGAATGTTTTTGCAAAACTGCAACTCACATCTCCTGTATGCACCAGCAAAGGAGAGAAAATTGCCCTCAGCCGAAGAATCGAAAAACACTGGCGTCTGATTGGTTGGGGCCAGATTCAAGCTGGTATTACTCTTGAAGTCCCGCCTTCTCCATTTAACTGAACTACTGGCCATTACAGAGAAGCCAGAGAAACCTAAGCAAACCAGAAAATTATGGACTAGATGTTGTCGGGCTGTTATCAATGGGTAACCATTTTTGTTTGATGGAGAAAAGGTTATTTGGAGTTTCAGATACTTTTATTGCTTGTGGTAATTTTCCCCCGTCTTTTTTTCCGTCGGAGTTCTTTATACCTTGCTCGAATGTGATCTGGATGTCGAGTTATCAAACAAAGCTATGTGCTTGTTCAATGCCATTACTGAAATAAACTTATCTAGTATTAGAATGTTTGACTACCGTGACAATTTTTTGCAAGAGCCAAAATTCTCGTCATAATCTGAGGTTATCATCTAGTAACATCGTGCATTGGGGTTGATATTTAATTGTCATAATTACATATTGCCTAGCAAATGGTTAAAATAGGTCTCATCAAAATGCAGTCATGTAATATATATAAACTTGGCTACCTTTTATTCAAAGTATCTCCAGGGTATGAGGCCCGTCGACTGGATAGGAATCGATAGTATCAGACCGGCATTAGTTTTCTCGTGCTTAATGTTGCTCACACATTTCTGTACTGTAATATTACACTTGAATCCACTTCCAAATGCAATTTGCCATATTCTGTCACCTTTCCTCGATCTCCCTTTGGCTTCTGTATTACTCTGTTCACATCTATAAGGATGGGGTATTGCCAAATCCATGTAGAGTCATTTTTGAGGTTTTCTCAATCACTATAACTAGGTCTGGGCGCGGGTCGGTTCGGTTCGGTTCGGTTTGAAAGAGAAACGAACCGAACGAAAAATTTCGGGTATTTAGTAAATAGAACTGTCGGATCCAAATATAATTATGGCAATGCCCAAATTAACGTAATCCAATTTAATAACATGTGTATAACAAGTTGTTCAACAAGATTAATTTACCAATCACATATAGGATAGTTTACACACTACCTTGTTCAAATGATCAATGGTCGAAGGTCGCCATCGGAGCCTGAGGTCAAAGCTTCGGACTTGGAGTCGGCAGTTCTATACATCTATTTGGGTTTTGGAATGTCAGATGTGTTATGTGCAGGTGATAATGTATGTAATTTATTTAGGGTTAGTCATTGGTGGGTTAGATCACTTGGATGTTGGGCTAAGAAATGGAAGAATAAAAACCAAAAAGGGCACTTGGGCTAAAAATTAAAAAAATTAGAAATGAAACAAATAATTGGGCCAAAAAATTGTATTTAGAAATTTGTTGGGTTAGGTCAAGCTATCTAGGCTAGGGCTTAGGAGATGAAATATCAATCAATCACCTAATTTGTTAAGAAAAAATTAAAATAATTTGATTTATTAAATATAAAAAAATAAAAATTAGAAAGATTCGGTTCTTATTCGGTTCTTGGTCTTGAACCGAGAATCGAACCGTATCTGTCGGTTCTTAATTCAGATACCTGTTAGGGTATTTAACTTGAGAAGAACCGTTGAGTTCGGTTCGGATTAGGTTCGGTCAGTTCGGTTTGGAAGATTTGCCCAACTCTAGCTATAACTATAATTACAATCCTCCCTCCTGTGTGGATGTGGAAATGCTCGAACCCTTTTCTGAAATCTGGTATATAGATGTTTTTCTCGGCTAAAATCTTCATTTTCTGTATCACTAATGGCAACCCATATCGAATTTGTCCTGTCAATGGCAAGACCATGGGACATAAACAAACCATATTTGCTTTTAATGCTTCTCTTGCTACGTTCTCAACGTTCTTTGATATGGACAATCCTACTTTGTTCATTGTCAGCTTCCTAGAAACCACATCCATAAGATCGATCATCTTCAGCTGTACTCGTTAGTAAGAACTCTGCTTTCTTCTTGTCCTGATCTCAACTAGACATTAGTATTGCAACACTCCCCATTTTGAATGTTAGCAACATAGAATGATCCTTCCCTCTGTACGAATTCAGACTCAAGATTTCACTGTTCACAAGAAGTGCCAACGAGTTACTATGGACTCTTTAAAAGATCAATAGCTAAACCTATTGATATAATTTCTGAGCTACATCCCATACATAAAGATTAACACTCGTAATACCGCTCCTCATTCTGAGCTTGTTAATAACCATTGCACTGAGTGAAGTTGTAGGTGAAAACATACTAGAATCGTTGATCAATATATCTTTTAGCTCTAGGTTTATGTTATTTTTCTCTAACAATTCCTTAACCATTGTGAAGATTACTGTTGTAACTTCCTCTTTGCAGAATGCAAGAGACTTTCTTATAGGCAGTCGACTCAAGGATGGAGGAATGCAAGATTCTCCACTGAAACCTGATTTTTCCATGATTTTGATTTGGAATGCTACATTAAAAGTGCATTTTTACTCATTTATTTAACCACAGAACATGATTGATTGTTGATCAAAGCGTTTGAATTATGGTTTAATTCTATATAATTTTATTTTGTAGGACTATAGTGATGGATATGACGGGATTCAAGAATGACCAAAAGGAAAGAAAATGAAAGTTTAAGGACCAAAGTGCAAATAACTGAAGGATGACCAGAATGACGAATCAAGAATGTAAACAGGCTAAGTATCAATTTGGTAATAATATGGGATGTTAGAAGGAAGAAAATAAAGAGAGGAGGTCAAAAAGCAAGAATTTAAAGTTTTGGGGACCAAAATGTAAATAGTCAAAAGATGAACCGAAGGCAGCAACAAAGATGTGAAAGACTCAAGGACCAACATAATGAAGAATTGAAGTATAGGGAGAAGAAAAAATGTGAAAAGAAGTCTTGATGCAAGAAAATGGGAATCGAGGGCTTAATTGTCACATTTGGAAATGGAGGGACCACCATGTGGTCGTATGGGCTAAGAATTTATGTGCTAGGAGAATGATGAATCATGTGATGTAAACTCTTGATTTCTAGTTTTACAATATTTACAATAGAATACGATCTTTGAATTTTGAATAGTTTATAGCTATTCAATTCTTCCATAATTATGTGCACGTAATTATGTAAGTTTGGTGGCTTATTTCATGTATTCGAGAGAAGGAAATTAGGTTCGACAAGGTATAAACTATTGTAGGGTTGATAGGAGATAGAAATATACAGCTATGCCCTGCGTGAATTTCTAAGTGTTCATAAAACTTCATGCATTCTTATATATTTGCATCCATCATAGAAATATAGTCGACTAATATATGAAAATAGGCTCAACTTTACTCGAGAGAGTTGTTGGATAGATTAGGATCATTGATTGTACAAAGTTTCAGGCGTATTGTCAATTTGTAGAAGTTGGTTAGAAGTGAGCGTTGCATTGGGATTCGTGATCCTAGTGCGCTTTTCATTCATTAAGGCCATGTTTGATTGGCAACGAATTCCAAGAAAAATGTAAAACGAATTCCACTTTCCCACTTTTGTCATGTTTGATGACAATTTTTTTTGTTGAAACTAGTTTCTTGGTTTGCTTGCCACGTAGACATTTTCTTAGTTTTTAAGGAAAACCAATTTCCACCTATACGGTGGGAATTGGTCTCCAGGCTATTGGGCGATTTTTTATTTTTTTGATAATGAAAATAAATTTTATCTCTAATTGTAAAAAAATATTTTCCTTTAATTGACAATTTTCATGTAAAATAAAGTCAAACGAATACCAAAAGATATATGATTTTCTTGACTTTATTTTTTTATTTTTATCTTTTTTTGGCAATGGAAACAAATTTTATTCCCAATACCAATCAATTCTATTTCTTTAATTGACAATTTTCATGTAAAACAAAGCCAAACGAAGGCCAAAATACTTTTATTTCAACAATTTTATACCAATCAAACACAATAATTGACAATTTTCAGTAAAGCAATTTTTAGGCAATTCAATTTCCTGAAATTCGTTTTCTTTCCACCTAAATTTCATCTTTGCAATCAAACGGACCCTAACTTCATCAAACTTGCATTCAAATATCACTTTGCATTCTAAATTCATTTGGTTCAGTCACATTTGTATGCATAATTTAGTTGAGGTAGAGTCAAGTTACAAATATTACGCTCGACAATTTGGTTTCGGTTAAGGTCGGGTAAAATTAAGCTAACTCAATATCTGTGGGACGATATTCGGAACTCTTCATTCCACTTTATTACTTGTTATGAACCGTACATTTGTGGTGTTAAAATCGATATAATAATTTCGTGAACACTACACAATTTTGATCAAATGTTCACGGAGCAGAACATGCTCTACGAACATGGACATTGGTAGGCGATAAAACAAGGGTGGCTGTAGCAAGTGTAGTCGAGAAATTGTGTGGTTACAAATAAGATTAAAACCATTACTTTGTGGTGAGAAGGTCGGGAAGATTATTTTTCGTAAGCATGAAGAGAATCTTGATTGTTGAATGTTTATGTAGTTTAGACTAACCTGAATTGTAGTTTGTTTCTTGTCAATAGGGACTAGAGAATTTCAACTTTTTATCCATACACGGCCAGCTTCGAGAATTTTGAAGTTCTAGGTGACTCATCATTATGAGGTCTTTAATCGTAAATTTTTTTACGAACGTAAAACTACTTAAATGTTTAAATAAATAATTTATTTATATTTTAAACGAAGACTTGATACAATGAAATGATAAAATTGCAAAAAATAAAAATAAAAAAATTCCAACAACTCTAGAGATTAGTATAACATAATATTTAGCGGAATTATCCCCTTTTTGAAAAATAAATAAATAAATTGTCATGTAAAAATTTATCTTCAAAATTATGAACCGAAAAAACTTGAGTGAAGTGCAATTTAGAAATCATGAAATAATTTTTAAGAACCATAATTTGAAGTCCTTTGAATATTGTAAGGATGACTCATAAAGAGAAAAATGATTTTCAAATATAAAAAGTGAAAACTGTAGGGATTATATTGCAAAATAGTGAGAAATATATAATTTTTAGATGGATAACGTGACGAATTATGATTATTTAGGTATTAAAAACGTAACTAGATTCTTATGATTTTGATTTAAGAATCTTTTATAAATTCGAGATTTTGAGAGATTAAAGTGAAAATAAGTTTCAAGATCAATAATGTATTTGTACCAAATGTGTATTTATTGGAGCATCGCAATTATCCCATCTATATTGGACTCATTTTGAAACTCGTAATAAATAACAAATTATGGAGTCGAGAAAAAGTTAATTTGGATAAAGCAAATTCAAGTTTTAACTTATTAAAATAACTAATTGATTCATTAAGCTAGTTTTTAAATTAAATCATATTACCTTAACAATATTGGGCTCGTTTAGTAGCTCAAAATTTATCACGTATGCTAAACTCAAGAAATAATAATTTCAATAAGATCGTACTAAATTAGAATCAACAAAAATTATTGTAATTAAATTACTTTTTATATCTATCTTTTAAATTTAATTGGACTTTTGGAATGAATTGTTTTTCATTTTTGAGGCCCTAGGCCATTGTCTTGTTGGCCTTGGCCTAGGGCCGGCCTGGATCATGTATAATCGAAAGATTTTGATTCATAGATTTCTCAAACGTCATTTGACTCGAATTTTTTAAATAAAAGAATTTTATTATGGAAAGAAAAATAAAATCATTGTTTAAAGACAAAAAGGGGGAAAAAAGGATTAAGGAAATAAGTGTTATAGCAGAAGGAAATAATATTTATTCAGAATAAATCATGATATTGCACTGGAAAGAAATTGCTTGGCACCAAAGTTACGGAACAGCAAGGCACCTAAGATTCATGGTGCAGCCTAATTCTTGTTGGTTCAAATATTCCAATTTGAAAGGAGAATTAAATTAAAGAAAAAAAAATGCTCATTTTCTCCATATTCCATGAAATATAAGAGTTTTCTTTTCGCTCCAAAATTCCGAGGGCCGTGGCCGAATACAATTATTTTTCCATCTTCTATGAATCCCTTTTCTCATGTCAATATACATTTGGAATTTATGTTATAAACCAAAGTATATTAATAAGAATTTGAAAGGCTTTTTCAGCCAAAAAAGTAACATAAGCAAACGAGTAATATGATCGAATAATTTTATTTGTAGCCGTTCACAATCACAGTCGCCCTACGTAGCATAAATGTGGCGGTTAGTAAATATATCAATCACTAACCGTCACGTGTATGCTACATAAAACGACTACATCAGTGAACGATTCTAAATAACATTACTCAATATGATTTGGAAGTACGAGCTAAATCGAAGTTTTAAGTATATTAAATTGCATATTACAAAATAAATAATTAAAATGAATATAATTTATTCATAATAATGTTCTTGAAATATGTAAATTTAATAACTTCTAATAAAATATGATATTAACAAGAATGGAAAAAATTCTTGCTACCCAAGAATCTCTCCCATTATATAGTTAGTAATCAGTTTTCCTCCGTTGAGAACGTTATTCTTGAAAACCCCTCACTCTCTTTCTTCCCTCTCATACGTACAAACACCCGTACTAAAAAAACCCAACAGAAGTAATAATTTTTCTTGAAAAAAATTGATTAATCATGGCTCAAAACTGGGATTGCAGAATGTATGAAGAGAAATTTCCAGAAATAGACACTACAGTAATGATCAAAATTAAGAGCATAAACTCTGATACATGCGCATATGTATGGCTCCTAGAATACAACATGGAGGGAATGCTTAGTTTCAGAGAACTTTCACAGCGGCGGATCAGAAGTGTTGCTAGTCTTGTTCGGGTCGGGCGGGTTGAACCCGTCAAGGTTATCGATGTCGACCCGAGGAAGGGTTTTGTGAACTTGAGCAAGAAAAGGGTTTCTGAGGAGGATAGGAAAGCATGTGAAGATAAGTACAATAAGAGCAAGCATGTGCATTCAATCATGCAGTACGTGGCCGAAACTGAGAACGTCGATCTTGAAGTAAGTTTTTGTTTTCTTATTATGATTGGTTTTCCTGCAATTTCTTGATTTCTTTCATAAAAAGATTATTGATTATGTACGTAAATTTTTATCTGCGTGGTGTATTTTTTGCTTATTTATCTTGAATGCGTTGAGAAGCTTTTCTTTGGGAACGAACTTTTGGAAAGGATAACAAAATTATTTTGACGGGGCGTTTGTGTTATGTAAAATTGAAAGTATGATTCTTGATTGTGTAGATTGTTAAATGTGTGTGTGTTTTTCGGGTTTAATGTAGTGAGAAGTTTTTTTGGGTGTTGATTTATTCTGTGAATTTGTTGATTGCTTGCATAACAAGGCGCGTACGTCAATATGTAATGTATTTTTTGTTTATTTCTTATGTATCTTGAAAGCATGTTAAATAGATTCTTGAATTCACTTATTTTGAAAATCAATTCTCTTTGTGATTCAGCGATAATTAGCTAAAAATATGAATTTAATGAGCAATGATTATGTTAATAGCTTGGTCGATTCTGCCTTTTTATCTTTCCATATATTGAATTTGGTTGTAAAATAATGGTTAATTTGCTATAACATACCTAACAATATTCTTTTGGAATACATATGCATTTATTGGATTATCATTGTATTATTATTGCCAAGTTACGGTTAGATCTTACATCATAAGGAAATTTTTCCAGGATTTGTATATCCATGTTGGATGGCCCTTGTACAAAAAGTATGGACATGCTTTTGAGGTTAGAGTTCACAACTATATATATATATATATATATATGTATGTATGTATGTATGTATGTATATTTCCGACCTTCTAAACATACGATTTGACTGTCACAGGCCTTCAAACTAATTGTGAATGATCCTGATTCGGTTCTTAATCCCCTCACTCGCGAAGTTGAAGAAATTAATGTTGATGGTGAGAAGGTAATGTGTGATCTAATTCAAGTTTCAGTTTAATATTCTTTCCTTCAGTTCAATACGCCATTTTTGCCTTTCCATGACCGAAAATATGATGGCATATAAATGAATCTTCAACCTCAGGTGTCTAAGGTGGTTCCTGCTCTGACGGACAAAGTAAAGGATACACTAGTAAAAATTATAAGGAAAAGAATAACTTCACAAGTATTAAAGATTCGGGCTGATATTGATATGACATGTTTTGAATTTGATGGTGTACTTCACATCAAGGTCTTTCTTATTATTCCTATGTTTAATACCATTGTTAAATTTTTGTTAGAGATAAGCTAGTTTCAATCTTTTTCCTTTTTCGTTGTTTCTGGTGAAGTAGGAAGCAATGAGGAAAGCTGAAGCCGCTGGTACGGACGAATGCCCTGTAAAAATTAGACTAATTGGTGCTCCCAAGTACGTCCTATATGCTCAAACAGTCGACAAGGTAATAAAAGATCCAGACATGAAATTTAAGATTTATTTGAAAGATTTTGTGCTACCCTATGAGCCCAAATGTCATTTTTAATATTCAAGTATGGATATTATGACATTACAATTAATTATATAGAGGTTTTGATATTAGGAAATCTCTGATCTTCGAGTTTCTGTTATGTGTGAATAAAAGATGAAATTTTTTTGGATGAAATTCAGCACTTCTGTTTTGATTGCAGGCAAAAGGAATAGAAATTGTAAGTAATGCAATTGTTGCTTGTACGAAAGAAATAGAGCGGCATAAGGGTAAACTTGTTGTAAGAGAGACTCCAAGAGAAGTAAGTACCACTTCTTGTTTTTAGTACACACTATTCTGTTTCTTCTTTTTGGTTGATATAAATTGTAATCAAGACATCTTACCTTGTAATAATTACTTGTAATGTTTTGTCAAGATTCTAGGAGTGAATTACTTCATGTATAGTTGCTCTTAGTTTAAATTTTTGCTCTATGCAGGTCAGAGAACAGGAGGATAAACTATCCACTGAAGAAATACGGAGATGGGGGAGGGCTCTACTGGGCTGTAGCCCAGTATTGCCCAAACCCATATCCAAGAAAATGGAAGGAATGGTCCATTAAAAATAGAAATTTAATCACTTAGCCCACCACCAGTCCAACAGCAGCCCAATTGCACAGCCAGTCCCAATCCAATATCACTATTATTTTGAGAAAAATAAGCCCATATGCCCAACACTTTGACTTTTTGTTGATAGTGTATATGTGCATTCATATTAATTTACTTCATGTATTAAATTTTTTGTTGTAGTTTTTCATAATTGAGTATATATAATTAAAATTTTTTTGATCATGATATAATTAACATTTTTGTTATACATTAATTCATGTGTTTCTATTTTCAAACTTCTTGATCTACACACCCGATTTTTTTAGCTCGCACGGTCGCACTCGTGTGGTCCTTCAATTCATCGTCTTGAATACTAGTGATGAGATTTTCTTAGTTTAGTTACTTTTTGGAACAAAATGGATAATAGTTTTCTTATTGATTGTATGAAACTTTACATCGAATGAGAATTTACTACGAATTTATATGTAGATTTATTATAGATGATTTTATGATGTAAAATCTTGTTAGGTGCAATTTTCGATAATGTTATATTATAACAATTTTTTTTTTTTTTAAAAAATGCCCCCTGTAGCCAAATCCGAGCACCATAGACCCCCGCAGCGTATATTCCTGGCTCCGCCCCTGGGTAAGAGACAAGAACTTCTAATTATGCTCCAACATGCCTTGAGCAAAATCCGTAGCTTTTGCCTTTCTATTTTTATCATCCAGAGATCATGGCCCGTAAACCAAATCTCTTAATTTTTTTCATGGATGTTGCAATAAGGGCATCAGTAATTGCCGAAGCTCAAAAAGGATTTTGGCCTAATAAGGATCAATGGGACTGTGTTTTGCATTGACAATGGCAATATAGGTGTCAATGGCACTGCAACATTACTTTTCCCTAGTAAGTTTCGTCGAATATCAAAAAACTAATGAAATATACTATGTTACCTTGCACACACTATATCGTGTTTCTCAATTTCTTGATTATTTTTCTATACATTAAGGTGTTGTAAGATTGCATATATACATAGTCTAGGCTTTGAATTTCTTCATTCTTTTGTTTCTTTCTCTTTTTATTCACAGTACACGTGCAATAATCACGCTTGAGATGAGACTTCCATTAAAATTACGCCTTCAGTACCTCAGCCGCAGGAAGCCTGAGTTCTGCTCTCGTTTGCCTTTCATCTGAGCTTTTTATTACTCTCTTCACCCTTTCGGGCTAGAACGTTCTACCGGTTTAGTGTTTTCTTTTTCTTCCTTTACAAAAAAGTGGAAGGAGAACGCTTACTTGCATGCGAGGGATAATGACAAAGTATTAGAAGAAAGTGACAGCAACTTGAAGAAGGATATATGAATCAAATATGTCGATGAATCTCTAAAAGATTCTATTAGTAGTGATGACAACTTTTAGGCCACTTCTATTTCCAGTAGTGTCTTACAATTTTGTCACATGATAGTACATGTCAAAAAATATTATGCACTTGTTCTACAAAACCTTGCACTCAAAACTAAGTTACTATTTTCCCCTACAGATGCTCTAGTGCAGTTGCAATGTGGGGCTGAAAATGCAGTTGCTAGTGCTACCTGTTGAAAAAAAAAAAGTTATAAAACTTTCAAATTAAATATTAAAAAATTTCAGTTTTCATTTTAATTCTTAAGTTTTCAGTTTTATTTTTTTTTAATTTTTCAGTTTTGTGTTTAATTTTAGATTAAATACAAATTTAATCCCATTATTATATTTGTAAAATATGTTGAATTTTATTAATTTTCATAATGAGATGGTTGAATTCTTTTACTAGAAAAAGGGTGGATTTCACATTCTTTGACACAACAAAATCAAACACAAAAATAATCCTACTCTCTTTTCATATTACTCTTCTCGTACTACTCTCTTGTTATTTTTATCTTCTTCTATAAACTTTTGGCAGTTGATAATGACTTGTTCTTTCTTTCCCTGTGGTCGTACCTATAGAAGGAGAATCAGCTGCGAGCTATAAGGGTTTTATCTTGAAACCGTGTAGTGCCGAAAGTACCTGCACGAAGGGGAGGCTATACGATTTTAGGACAACGTTTATCGCGACTCTCTTAGGCTGGCTTTTCTAACTCTATTATCATATTTATTTAATTGATTCATGCTTATAATTGATAGTACATTGCACAAATCACGTTAATTTTACAACAATATAAAGTCTTGTGTGTGGTTTGTGCGATAATAATACTTGGTAGTTGCTAACATACTCATTGTTATAATGCTTCAATTTTTTGATTCTATTAAATTTTAGAACCTTTTATAATTTTCATTTTGAAACTTACTATATAAATTTTCATTTTGGAAGCTCATAGAAATTTTATTGATTATTGCACCCTTCAATATTGTTTCAATATTTTTAATTTGAAGCACTTATTTCATTTTGATAACTTATTAGAAAGTCTTAAAACTTATATTATTTACTTGATTGATTGACTTGAACATAAAATTAAATTGTGACTATATCATTTTAAACTTCAATATTCATTTAATTTGTTATATTGTTACTTGAAATATTTGAATTAATATTGTCAAGTTTTAAATATTTGACATAATTGAAAATTTTATTGTTGGTGTTATTCATTGACAAATTTATATATATTTACAGTTAATTTTCTTTCCCTTAGTAATTTATAGTGTAAGAATGACATCTCGTGAAGATACTAATAGTGCTAAGTCGGAAAACTCTGACGGAAAATTTTTTAAAAGATGGAAAAAAATGGAATATTAGTTGACTGTTCTAAGGTTAATTTTTGCTATAAAAGAAGATAATGAAGATAGAGAATCTACCTCTTGGTATAATCTAGAATAAATTTAATCCCATTATCATAATCGAATTTGAAGTGCTCTTTCTGATAGACTTTATGATATTTATCAAAATATCAAGAGTGCTAATGAGCTTTGGAAAACTTTAGAGGAAGAATATAGAATTGATGATGCTGGAGTCAATAGATTTAATGCGTCAACATTTTACAAATATGCTATGGCGGACGAAAAATCTATAAACGAACAAATCCATCAGTTTCAAGATTTACTAAGACACGTAGAAGAAAAAGGGTCAAGTTTTAGTGAGGACTATAAGGTTTCATGCCTTATAGATAAACTTCAACCTTCTTGGTTGGACTTTGCTAAAAGTCTTAGACATAAGCAAGGGATTTTAACCTTGAACCAAGTATTCAATTCCTTGAGAATAGAAGAACATCATAGAAATTGTATCAACAACAAAGGGAAAGAGAAGAATGAGCAAGGGCCGTGTTATGTATATGGAAGAACCAAACATATTGGTCGAGATTGCTACAACAAAACGACTAAGGAGTGCAAGCAGGGCCGACCCTAAAATTTTTGAGGCCCTAGGCAACATATTATTACGAGGCCCTTAAATTTTGTGCATGTTCGATCACTCCCGACAATTGGCCTTCTTTTTCTACTATATAAACACATGCCCTTCTCCTTAGCACTGTAAAAAGAAAAGAATGCATTTCATGAAGTTAAATTAATGGTCAGTAGCCATGATGAGTTTTCCCCTTCCCAAATTTTACAATAATCATTCTCTCTTCATTTATATTACTACTCTACTACTTTACGAATAAGTTATATTATGCAGAAGAAAAAGAACCTTAGCCCAGTAAACAAAAAAAAAAAAACAAAATATCCCTTTTTTCCTTTGGTAATTGGTCCGAAATTGTTGAAGGGATAAAAGAATCATCAATTGTTTCATTAGAGATTTTACATTTAATTTTGGCCATTTAGGTGCACAGCACAATAAAAATTTGCTTCAACTTTGTAAAACCATTATCCATCAATTTTGGAGTGAATAAGAAATCTATATAAACTAAGGAAACAAGCTGTAGAGTAATATTCTAAAATTTACTATATTACAAACTCAAATTGTACATAATTAATTATCCCAAAATTGATTTACCTTTAAGCTTCAGCCAACATTGTCAGAGCAAATAATGTACTTTCACATGATTCAAACTTACAAAAAGAAATAAGAAAAGAACCAAAGTAGATTGTAGAAAACAAGCTTCTTACTTATATAGGTATTGTACCATAGATGAAAGAGCAGTTCAACATCATAAACCCAATGGTTGTTTATGAACTTTTCAATTTCCTCAAAATACTATGCTCTTAGACCTAGAACTTGATTGAATTATTACTCCAAACTAGAAGGAATAGGTATAGAATTTTTATATTTGCAACATATTCTTTTCTTCCTTCTTGCCCTTGTTCTACTTGGGTGGTAGTCCTCTTCCTTCTAGGGCTACTCTAGCAACAGTGGTCTGATGGAATCAATTATTTCAATTCAATAAATCAAAATTTCACCATCTCTTCCCCTCTCTTCCCCTCGAAAAACGATGCTTTTATAAAACGTGTAAGTTTTTTATGGGCTCTACTTTGGGCCAAATTTTTTTGTGAGGCCCCTTAAAACATTGAGGCCCTAGACAGCTGCCTAGTCTGCCTTGGGCCAGGGCCGGGCCTAAGTACAAGTTTAAGGACAAATTTC